CTTAAAAATATTCTTCAAGATTACTGATGACTTCTACTGTGGCTAAATGATATCCATGAACTTGTTTTTATGAATTTACAAAAGTAATAGGATAAGTTCTTTATATTTTGTAATGCTGTACACTAGAATTATTCTAAAACACTTAAACTAATATCTATGGTACTAAAAGAGAAGAAGAATAGCTATTGAAATCAAAATTGTGCATACACAACACTAAAATTTAGATAACTAAAGGTAAATTTTACTCAAGTTTGCTTCACAAGCAATATTTATTTCAGCAACTATACATTTACAACAAGATGCAACCAACAACATGTATATGCTTGAAGTGTATTATAATAAATCTGGACGATAATGAATATTTAAGGTTCAGTTCCACCAATTACGGTGATTCAGATATTAAAGCTACATATAACATTGTATGCTGCTACATCAGATTCTGGAGTCGATTTCACAAAGAACCTTACGACTAAGATTGGTCGTAAGTATACTGAATTGTTCATGACTTACGATTTATCTTAGTCGTAAGTTTTTTTGTGAAACAGACTGCTGAAGCTTAAGTGATCAGCTTAATTAAGGAAATTTTTATCTTAGATTTACTTAAAGAAGGAGGTATGATAAGAGCCATTATTGTCCTTCCCTTCACCCTGCTCAGTTGCTTTGTATACCTAATTCTTGTATCATGGCTAAAAACAGCATCACAATGTATGAGAAGTAATCAGTGAAGACACAATGCGTGAGATGTTATTACACTTACTTTCGTCAAGCATACATATGTCTAAGGGAGGGGGGAAAGACCAGTAATAGAACGATAAACAGATTATCAAGTTTTCTAAGTATAGATATCGTAAAATATTAGCTGCTCAACAAAATGTGAAGCTTTTTTGCTTGATCTCAGTCTTCACTCACCAAAAAGGTTTACATTGTAAATCATGACTGATATTTTGTGATATCAATGTGTAGAAAACCCAATATTCTTTCCTTATTTGGCTCCTGAAATTGTAAAAAATAGTAAATTCATTTAAGCCTTTCAAAATAATGTTCATTTTATTTTATTTTTACTGATTTTGTGTCATGGATGGATACCCCATATCCTTTGTTTTTCTATTAGGTTAATATAATCCACACTTTAGTTCAGAGAGGTCACTTGTGATCTAACTAAAACATCATAAACATGTAGAAATTTCATATTTGACCAAAAATTGCCATTTAACATAGTTTTTTGTCAAAACACGTTTGATCAACAGCCTTACCCAAAAAGATATTTTACACATGCTAACATCTTTGTAAAATACATTTGTAGCAAAATATCTTTTTGGGTAAAGCTGTTGCTGATATCAAAATATCAATGACAAGATCTGAAAATGAAGCTATTTTTGCAGTTTTTGACTAAATGTAATTAGTTTGAAGCTCTAATGCCAACATGTAAGACAAAATTCGAATATATAAATACTAATGTATGACAGCTGTATGTCTAGTGAACATCTGAAGGATGTTATTTTGATAGATTCTGATTATTTTTGATTTTCGAATTCAAGGGACCAAAAAAGTGGCCTTATCGTACATTCGAATTTCTCCTTCAATCTTAATAGCTTTTAATTTAATCCAATAATCAACAATACTCTTTTTGTTTAAATAAAAAGCACTTTGTTGAAAGGTTAGAGGTCCAGACACCTTGAAAAAAAATTCTGTTTGAATAAATCCAAATAATTGATTATATACAGTTTTATGTAATACAAACAACATATTGAAATATTAACCATTCTCTCTTGTTTGACAACTATTTCCCTTGTCTTAAAAACTTACCATTTATCATTTTGTGACAATAACTGAAAGCCCTCTCCTTTGATGGAGTTACAAACAATGCATCATCCACTATCCTCATCATCAGTTCCCCTTCACAGATAGGAAACTGTCTCTCCATTTCACCATAGTAGATGTTACACAGAAGGGTTGATATAACGGATCCTTGACTGATTCCTTTAGTTTGCTTATAGTACGTCTTCCCAATCTGTCAAATAGACATCATCTTTAAAGGTAAAAAGTCTTTCTTCTTCAATAGAATTGACCATAACTTCAAATAAAAACTTTAAACGGTATAAGTAGTTGGTATCATTTCTAGATATCATAAAACTGTTAACACAGAGAGATATGTCTCGCCTTTTAGTTATTTTGATAGTAAAATACAAATGTTGAAATTAAAATAGCATTCCTTTAACATGTAAGTTATGCAAAATATTGAAAGACTTTCAATGAACCATGACTGAAGGTACAGGGCCAAACAACCTCCATGGAAATGAGATATGCCAATGCTAATACAGCTGCATACCAAATATCATTGACCTACCACTAGTAGTTAAACTAGTTAAACTGACCTAATCACTAACTAAAACATGTAAACTAAGTAAAAGTTTCAAAGTCAATAGACCATGAATGAGGGGGTGGGGCCAAATAATCTCCATGGAATTCCATCAAGGCAAGACAAAAATTATTTCTAACTCGAAATTTAACTTAAACTCTTATTCTAAGCATAACTCTAAGCCTAACTCAAAGTTCAACTCTAAACAAAACCCTAGCTAAATGGTTAGCCACACTCAACTTATACTTGGTAATTTTACCTTAATGATATTGTGGAAAATATGACAATGAAGTTGTTTAAGTAACCATTCTCTGGTTTCTTGCTGGGTCACAACCTAAAACATACAATTTTGAATAAAATACTTTAGGTTACAATTCCTTTTTTTATCTTTGAGCCCTCAGTTTGAAGACAAAAAATGTTACTGGTTTCACAATGATGACTAGAACTTACTAAATCCCATATTTAAATGGGACCTATAGTGACAGTTTTACTTTTTGAGTTACTGATGAATTAGATAGAAACCATCAGAATATTTTTTCCATGGATCTTACATTATAAGGATTAATCTAAATGATTTTTAAAAAATCTCTACCTATAGATAAGCTTGAAATACAACATTTTTTTAAAGCAAAATTTTACACTTAATGCAAAACTTAACCAAGTCATTAATTAATAAAATGAATGTCAAAGTCACCTTTCTTTATTGTCGACCTTGGTATCTAAATCTAATGCATAAACTGACAAATGAGCTTTCCTCTATGATTTGTAGCAGCTTAGATCTAGACCATACAAACAAAAAGAACTAAGAGATGAATTGACAAGGGCAAGAAATTGACTAAATCTGAGTATGTGAATCTATTTGTCATTTTGTGCATAGTTCATGAAACAAAATTATGATAATATGCAATCAAAAACATAATCATATGTACCCCATTTGTATGTCCAGAAAAATTCTGAAAAATATTTTTTTTTAACCTTGAAAACTGTTGATGTTGAGTGGATATTCCATTTACCACTTTAGAGGATAGAGGCAGGTATAAACTCCACAAACAATTATTTAAGATAATGTTTTGGTTAAAAACTGAACTTGTCAATTAGCAATTGTCAGCAGCAGTAAGAATATAACATCTTTTAAATTTGGCGTACCCACCTGGTCAACAAAGACAATATCATGAGAGTTGTCTTCTTGATTCTGATGTCTTAGGAACTTCAAAAAGTCTGACCTATAGTCTCCTAGCTGGAAAGCCTTCCTAACAAACTTTCTCTTTACAACTCCCCCTTCATTTACTATCTTCACGTATCTTCGTATGATAAAATCATCTTCCACTATCTCTGGCTGAAACAGATGAAACTGGCATAATTTATTTATACAAATCAGAAAAAATACTAAACAAATTAGAGGCTCTGACAGCCTACATTGGTCGTCTGGCTCATACGCTCAATTTCAGGAATGAAAGTTTATACCTATTATTGTGAGGTATCCAGCCAACATTATTCTACAAGAGAACCATAACAATAGAAATATTACAGTCAAAGTTACCTTATAGTTAATCCAAAGACCTTTGTTTTGCTTATTCCCTTTATTTAAAGTATCAGCTCAGGCTCTGTTTCATAGGGATTGAGTTATCACGAGTCATCATTACATGTACAAAAAGAGATCAGAAATGTGGCTTCACATGTTTGTTAGTAAGTGGCAATTGTTGACAAGAAAAGACAATTACCGTTTTAGTTTCAGTTGCCTACAAATAAATGGTCCCTAGTGTGGACAGTGTATTACCTGCAAATTTTTTCTCATTATCCTCCTTAATTCATTTCTTCATGTTTCATGCAATAAATAGCAAGTAGAGGGATAAAATTACACTTATTTTTTTTTAAGGTAAAATAGTGAATCTGTTAAATTATATCAAAGACCCTCCTTAAAATAAAATTGTCCATATTTTGAGCTGAAGTTTTCCATAATTTTGAAATAGTTTGTCCCAAAAGTAGTTCACTACACTTTAAAATCTTATTGAGAAAGTGCAGGTGGATATTATTTTAATTTGCTTTTACTGTTTAAAAGAAATGCACTACAAATCAATTGTGTTCTTGGACCATTTAGATCAAGCATAAAAGTATCAATATCATTTCATATAGCTTCAAATTTCCTGTGATATTGAACTAGCTTATTCACTTTACTACCGTAATTAATAATAATATTATTACAGTATACCACCAGAAAAGTAGTCAACTATTTATTATCAAAAACATTGACAAATGAATTTTTTAACAAAGCTTTGTCTTAGTGTGGGCAGTTGGGAACCCCACTGCTGTTACAAATATAATGTTTACACTGCAAACAAATGAAGAAAAGTAAACAAAGTTTTAAAATAAACTGGACCTAATTTGAAGAATTCTATAACTGTTCTAATCCTTGTTTAATTGTACTTTTTCACAAATATTCATGGAGTTGAAGTATCAAAAATAATTACCAGTACCGTTATATATATAGATCTTCTGTTCACAACAAAAAAAAAGTCTACCAATAATACTATGAAACTGACATGCATACTGTTAATTTTTATCATTAATTTTTTATGTGTCTTCTCAAAGTTTATGCTCAAAGCACACAGTGAATTAAGCTTTGATAACAAGTATGAAATTACAGGAAATATAGGGAATTATATTAAAATAGAAAACCTTTTTTGGTGTTTTCAGAAATGTATTGAAAATTCTAAATGTGTGTCATTTTTCTTCAATGAGAACCAGCAGAAATGCATCCTACATCCGATATCGTTCTGGAACAAGACACCATGTCAATCTGAATCTGGCTGGAAATTTTACAACACAAAAGATGGTGAGTTGATACTTTTCTACTATTGAAAATATGTATGTACCTTGTTATTTGTTTTTGGTTACAATTTTTTTTGCCCATTAGGCCATGGTTTTTTAATTTGTTGGTTTACAGATCCACCTCCCCTATTTTTCCAATTTTCAGAAGAAAAAATAAAATTGACATTTCTTACTTTTTTATTCCCTCCGACAATAACAAATACATTGTCCCTGAAATATTAAAATATCTGCATAGCAACTTTATCCTGAAATTAAATGCATTATTTAAGCATGTTAAAACATTTCTAAAAGAATAAAAATCTTAAATAATCCGTAGTGTTTGTGTGCCTTAATACAGACAATCAAAACTGACCTCGAAATGTAGTTTACACAAATAATTTTGCGAAACAAAACTGATGTTAAATCCCCATAAAAATCAGTTCATTTTCCTTTTTTTGTATAATTCTGTAAGATTTTTAATCTCATAGATGAAATGGACCCGTCCAAACGTGAAAGACATCAATTCAAAAGTAACAGATATCCACAAACAATTTTGAATTTTTTTGTTTATATATTGAAAAAAAATGTTCATCCATTTGGATATCAAAGGCGAAATTGCCTACTAACGAATGAAAACGATATCCTCGTTTTTCCATTGGATGCTTCTACTTAGTCATGGATGGTAGAGTGAAATTTTTGTGTGACATGTTTGCAACTTTCATCACACATTATTTTGTACTAAAAGCTCATTATTCACTATGTTTCCTGAAAGTTGATAAAAAGCAATGAGTAGCTGGTTTTTTGGGTTTTTTTCTTTCGTGAAATGACCATTCATTTCCTGTTTGTCAGTGGACATACTCCCTTTTCACAAACTTGTGACCTGATGGTATGCATAGTATGTTTAAAACATCTAAGCAATAATGTTTGGAACTAAAAAGGAAGAAAATCAAACCAAAACTATTGTTAGTAAGCTTAAATATTTATCAAATTCATACATATTTCTGTTTTGTAAGAATATTTTCCTTCTTTTTTTTTTCGACCACCCGACCCGACTTTTTCACAAAATAAATCCTTAAACCAACAAATTAAAAAACCTCAGAGAATATGGAGTTAAATGGCATATTTTTTAGTCTTAAGTTAAGTTTATTCATTACTGTGGATTATTTAAATTTTGTCGGTACATTTACCATTTTTTCATGGATTGAGTAAAACTTGCATTTTCATGATTATTTAATTTCATGGTTTTGCCAAAGTCTGTATTAAAGCCTATAGAAGTTCAAAATTTAAATTTCTTGGTTCACCTGTACCCACAAATATCCAATGAATAATAGTGAAGCCACAGTATATCCTGATGCCTAATAAAATCAGAAAAATATATGACCACCATTCTAATAATGGTTTAATTCTTTATAGCATATTATTCTATTTTGTGAAGGATGAAAGTGCTTCATATGTCTTGAAGGCAGGAATTTAATAAGATTTTCAAAGTTTTTCTTCACATAATGTGTATGATGGCTTACTGTATATTAGATTGTGACACTATAATGAACTATTTACTTACTTACTCACTTACTTACTTAGTAAATACTCATTTACTGTATTTGTCTCTAAATTAGACTAAAATATACATGTTGGGAATCTACTAACAATAACATAGTAGCCTAACAGGAAATCACAGCGAAACAATTAACTTCCATCACTGAATTCATTTGGAAATTTCACATTAAATCTACATATATTTCAAAAGCTTCAGGAAGATGTCCATCATCAAACGGTTTAACATACTACAGATATTTAGATTTATGTTACAAAATACATGATACAGTAAAAATGGATTACAATGGTATAGTCAAACCAACGTGTTTCTCTGATGGACTAGAACTGATAAGGATCGATTCTGCTGAGAAGAATAGCTACGTACTGGAAGTTACTGACTATGGTAGGTCTTCATTAAATGACTGATCTTTGATTGTAACTGTTAAATTTATGACTAATATTTTTACTCAGAACGATTAAGAGGTTGACAAATTGTAATAGAGACCATAATGCAAGTACTGTGGATACATTTATTTTCATGGAAAATTATTTTCTTGGATGAGATAAAATTATGATTTTGTGATTTTGCTTAAGTCTACATACAAACCTCAAGAAAATTTACACTTCGTTGAACATCTAAATACATGGTTTACTTATACCCATGGAATACACAAAAATTTATACTCATTTGAACATCTATTTACATGGTTTACTTATACCCATGGAATACACAAAAATTTATACTCATTTGAACATCTAAATACATGGTTTACTTATACCCATGGAATACACAAAAATTTATATCCCATGCATAATGAATCCATAATACTGTAAATTCAGGAATTATTGCAAGGTTTTTATTAATGCGAATAATGCGACTCCGTGAGTATCATAGTTGCCAACTGACATGATATTCGCGTGTAATACACGCTTTTTCAACGGTTTACACGCGAGGATTTTATCACATGGCGTGTAAACACTTTTCACCACTTTACCAAAATTACACGCTTTTTCGTTGTTTTGATTTTTTGGTTGTTAGTGATATCGCGATTCTCTGGTTTTTTCATTATAACACGATAAATACCGAAATTTCGAAGTAATTTTTCGGTGGCCATTGTTTATTTTTCTATATGGACGAACAGCAAAAGCTCTTAAGGTAAGTAGTTTGTGATTGGTTTTTACGATTTTGGGACTTTCTTTCAAATTCACTTAGAGGAAATGTCCACAGAACGACGTAGCTTTCAGGACCTGTACCGTCGTCTAAAGAGCCGATTTCTAAGCAAAAACGATGTGTACGTACCAAGATTCAAAATTTATAAATTATATTTGGGAGTTCGAGTTTAAATCATCGAGGGATGAGTAACGCATTGTGCACTCTATGTTGCAATCATAACAATACATATGAGAGGAGAACTTAAATACATAGCTATTTGATTAAGCATTTAACAATTATAAAATATTTTTCTTTTTCAGTTTCAAATGTAGCCAACAGATTTCCACAGGCCATTGGGGATGGAAATATCACGGAACTGTTGGATCAGTTCTCATAGTATTAGCTGTCTTCTGATGAACTACCCAGTTTTGACCAGGCAATAGCAACATATATTGTATAGTTTGTTGGGAGCAATGTCAGAGATCATAGATGACATTATAGATGGCAAAAAACATTATGACACTCTTTTAAAGCTTCATGAAGCTATTTTAGTTCAGCCAAATATCAATTCTGACTGTGAGAGATCATTTTCAATTATAAAGAAATTTACACTGAATTCTGATCAGAACTCAACAATGATATATTGTGTGCCTTGTTATCAAGTACAACATGTAAATGTAACAAAACCAGCAGGTGTTTTGACTATGTGCCTAGTGGTGTTGCTTTAAAAGCAGCAAAACAGACCACTGTTGAATACAATAAAAGTTTACAGTTGAATATTGTTTTTTATATTAACAAATTTGCATATAATGTGAAATTATGAACATTGTTCATATTAAAAAGTCTGCATCTACGTCATGCGTTTTCACACGCTTTTTGTCATGTCATGTCATGTCATGACATGATTTCTCATTGTCAGAGGTTGGCAAGTATGGTGAGTATTGCAATAATAAGAACTCGCATTTTGATAACTAAACCATAGATCTGTATGTAAATTTTTCTAAAATTGCAATAATTGAACTCGCATTCTTGTCAATTTTTGAAAAATCGCAATAATAAATGCATGCAATAATTTCTGAATTTACAGTAACTGATTATGGTAGGTCTGAATTAAAACACAGTTCTTTAAATTAACTGACAATAGCAGAAAGCTTATGATAATTGATAATAATACTTTCTTTATAAAGTCCAATAGTTGTTCAGCTATGTATGATATGAAAGTATATATTTGAAAAAAACAACATGTTAAATTTTGAAAACTATTGGTTGAATGGTTCACAAGAAACTGAACTAAAAATGACATAGAGTGCCCTTTCCTAATCAATCAACCATATCTCCTAAACCTTCATTTTGTCATCTGAATAGCAACATAATTTGGGGAAAAAATTTCTAACATTATCAAGATTCATGAAAATGAGATAAAGATCAAATTAACTCTGTCAGATGAATGGCACACCTTTCAATGATTGTACACAACAAATATAGTTGACTTTAAAGTTATAGTAACTGAGAACACAATGTTTTCATGAAAACTTAAATGATGATCAATGAACCATTAAAATGAGGTCAATGTTGAGTAAACCAGGGCTTCCAAAATTATTTTTAGCCAGCCGGACATTTTAAATATTATCCCGATTTTAATCCCTTAAGAGTAAATAAACAAAAGGCAATTATGGTATTCAGTTGCTGAGTTGGCCATATCAATGATTGACATTAAAAAAAAACGATATTAAACTTTATTTGATTCAAATTCGAAGTTCTGACGTAAACTGTTAAATTGGCAGTGCATCATTCGAAGTGTGCAACATCAGCGTACTTATATTTGCCTTAGACTCTTTATTTGTGCAAAATAACGTTGTCAAAAACTTTACATTCGTTAAAATCTTATACCGGATGTTATCTTGACAACGGTAAAACATGGACCAGAGACGGATACGTAAATTCCGTGTACGTTTGCAAAGCATGAATGAGTGTACGTAGCTCTTTCTACGTTATTTCTTCAAGAAAATATTCGAAATAAACGTGAGAGAAAGGTATCAATGACAATTTAAGCATTTTTTTTAGGAAATTAGGATGCATAACTAAATTTCACACCTGCGCACACGTGTACTAGTTCAAACAGAGACATGTCTCTGATCAAACAACGTGGTTATGACGATTTTTTATTTTCACCTTTTTAATTTTTTCATCATATCATATTTGTAAACGTATTTCTGATAATTTAAATCTTTTTGACTAAATTAGTTAGATGCAAACCGCTGAAATGTAAGAAAATAACTTTGAATAGACCGATCAATGTCCGGTTCAAAATAGTTTACCTGTCACCTGAACAGGTAAATTTCAGCTGTTCGACAACTAATTAGCCTTGATTAAAATGAGAAGGTATTGAAGTAGGGGTTGTTTTGATAGTACTTAATGATCATGTCACTTTTATGACCGGAAATGTGTGGCTGTTAAAGGCAAAACGTTGGGTCAAAAAGATCGCGAATTATGTTAAAATGACCGTCTCTTAAGAAAGCCTTGAAAACTTAAAAGAAGATGACCGTTTCATGCTTTGCCCAGCCGGACTTTTACCGGACATTATACAAATGTCCGGAATATATGACCGTTTTGGAAGCCTTGGAGTAAACCCTTTTAGACAGAAGAGAGTTATATTACTGACCTTCAGCAAGTAATTTTGACAAAGAAAATAGATCAGAAATTTTCCAGAATTTTTATTTAGAACACTTCTACTGACAATCTTTGGTTTATTTAACCTTACAATTTATTTTCTGCATTTAAATGGTGGTTTATCTCTTTTACAGTAGAAAAATATGGTTCAGGGTTACATATATGTATACAGGGAACCAATAGTATCAGTGGAAACCTAGCTTGGACATTTGATGATGGATCCCCTATGACCTACTTTAATTGGGATAAAACTTACACAATTCCACAACCAGATAACAAAGCATCAGAGAGTGTGATGGCAATTGCTAGACCAGCTGGAACCTGGCATGACTTCTATCTAAATACAAATTTCGGATGCTTGTTTTTATGCGAAAAGAGATAATAAAACTAAAATAATTCATGATGACACTGGTTTTATGTTAAATTTTTCTGAAAAAAAATTCTTTCGCTTTTGAAAAATGTTGTGTTATAGATGGACACAAGTTTGGTTAGATATGTCCTGCCATTTTCAAGATGTAATGGATAAACAAACTGATATATCAGGCTGAAATTGCTTAGTCCATGTTTTTGGTATGGGTAACACCCAAAATAACTCAAAAATTAATATAGCAAGAGAAGTCCTGAAGAAGAATTTGTGCAATATAAAAATACAATGTGGTATGATTGCCAATGAGACAACTATCCGCCAAAGTTCAAATGAAGTGGATGTAAGCAATAATAGGCAACTGTATTGCCTTCAACAATGATAAAAACCCATACCGTATAGTCAGCTATAAAAGGCCCTGACATGAAAAATATGAAACAATTCAATTACAAAAACTAACACACTAATTTATAACAAAACAATTTCCAAAAAAAAACTTTACAGACATGAACCAACAACAACCACTGAACTACAGGCTCCCATCTTGGGACAGGCACATAAAGAATGTGGCAGGTATAAACATGTTTGAAGGCACCAACCCTCCCCTAACGTGGGAAAATGGTTTGGTTGAATTCTGGTTTCTGTTTTCAAGGAAATGTGTCACTAGCCACAGCTGGGCACATTCAGGCAATGTAGTCTTATAGAGTTCTGACTGAGACTTTAAACCATGGTGGTGCATCTGTGAAATTTCCAGAATTTGTCAACAGCTTTTGTCAATGGACCATTACAAAATAGAGCACAAGTCCATAAAGAAAACAATCACATGCTTACTAGGTGATCCAATATCTTATTGTTACTTGCTTAACATTAAGTGGCACATATGAATTATTCAGGATGAGAATCAATATACAAATTAATGCAAAAGGTAGGTTCTACAAAGTAGGTCCACCTGGAAGCAGGGCAGAAAATTTTGACTGCCACTTGAAGGGCAAGTTTGATAGGGGCAGATTTTTTGCTTGCAACAGGTCAGAAATATTCCTCTCGGAGATGAATGTTGCATTGTGTTGTTGTGCAATGGTAAATTTTTGTATTCTTGTCTTTCGTTTTTGCAAATGTGCTTTGTCTATATGACTTTGTGTTTGTCTTTGTTGACATATTTGCTTGTTTTTGTAGTGATCCATTTGAAGTGGCTCGGTACTTGTACATCCCGTCATTGTGTTGTTGTGCTATGGTAAATTTTTGTATACTTGTCTTTCGTTTTTGCTAATGTGCTTTGTCTATATGCCTTTTTGTTTGTCTTTGATGACATATTTGTTTGTTTTTATAGTGATTTAGATTATAACACAATGTTGACTGCTGTATTCTTTTTATTGACATGTTTACCTATTATGTCTGTTTGTTTTGTTCACACATCGTTGTCAATATAATGGAATTTTATGCGACTGTCATACAAGTTAGAGGTTTAGCTAGCTATAAAACCAGGTTTAATCCACCATTTTCTATAAAGTCAGGAATATGACAGTTCTGATCCAATTGTTTGATGTGTTTGAGGTTTTGAGTTTGCCATTTGCTTAAGGACTTTCCGTTTAAAATTTTCCTCGGAGTTCAGTATTTTTGTTATTTTACTTTTTCAAGGGTTCTTTAATGGTCAAAGAGCATGGCTCTCCTCCTACACGAAACATGGAATTTTAACTTCTCCATTCTAAACAGACATGATTTTTACATCTTGCACACCCAAACAGACCCCCCACATTAGCAAGCTATATTTTATTGCCAATCAAACCTAGAGGTTATAAACCCCTCTGACAGATGGGTCTAAATCAGATGCTTTAGAATATGCAAGCAGGGCATTAGAGCAGTTTTTCATAGTTGCAGTAAAAACTAAAATCCACCCACCAGTCAATTTCTTTTGTGAAAGGTGTACGGGAATCTACAAATTGATGAGATGTGGCCTATAAAGATCATTAATAATAATAACATAAATTGTTTATATTAGCTAATGACACCAGTGTAAACATAAGACTAATCTATAAAGGTTCAAAAGCATGTCAAAGGTTAACATACAGGTTACTGAATATACCATAATTGTGTCGCTTCGATCAAATATATTCTTATGAAGTACAGCTTATTCCAGTGATAATGAAACGACAATTATTCATAAAGCTACCAATTACTGAATTATAATTTCTTGTCTAAAAACAAGTATTCCACCATAATGTCAAAGTAATCTATTATTCATTATTGAGAACATTGACAAACAAATTTCTTAACACAGCTTTGTCTTCGTGTGGGAACATAACTGCTGTTACAAATCCAACCATTAAATATTTATGAGTATGTTGTGAACATCAATGAAAAAGATCTTCTGTACAATGCAAAGAAATTCAACCAGGAATTGCTTAAAATGTGTTTCAATTGTAAGCTGAAATCACTATCATATAAAAATAAGGATATGTGGTATGATTGGCCAATGAGACAACTATCCACCAAAGTTCAATTTTATTTTCAATGTGTCATCTCAAAAATGTTCATTCTCAAAGCAAGCAGAGAAATAAACTTAACACATATGATATTACAAGAAATGTAGGAAATTCTGTTAATATAGAAACCCTTTTTAGCTTCAGATATGTGCAGAACATTCAAAATGTGTGTCTTTATTTCAATGAGAACCAGCAGAAATGCATCCTACATCCGATATCATTCTAGGACAAGACACCATGTCAATCTGAATCTGGCTGGAAATTTTATAACACAAAAGATGGTGAGTAAAAAAAAAATTCTACTAAAGTACAAATTTACACTTCTCTCTACAGCACCTCTAAAATGATTAGTTTTGAGATTGTGCTCTTAATTACAAATTTTATGAATTTAAAATTATTTTATGTCATGAAATTTATTTTTTTCCTTTAAGTAGAAAGTATAAAACAATTTCTTAACAAAACAAAAAGCAACTTATTGAGCAGAATTAATATAAGTATGTGAGGTGAACATCAATCATTACCCTGTGACAAAATCCTTGTCCTAAATATTTACCATTTACACTCTTGAATTTTTCTATACTATCTGGACTAATGTCGTCACCTGGAATTTTTGCATCAAACTGATTGCAATGAGAATATTTCCAATAGTTTCCAGCAAAAATGCCAAATAGTTAAAAATTAGCCATCAAAGGTAATAACTCCTAGTCCAGATAGTAAAGAAACATCTATGTCATTTGGTCTCTGGTAGCAAGTTGTCTCATTGGCAATCATACCACATCTTTTTATTTTTATAAAACTGACCAGTGTTTTTTTCAAAATGACCTGGATGTTCAATGCATTTCTCAGTAATAAAGTTTATGTTTAAAGCACATTCAAATTTTTCAACTTTTAACAAAAAGTATATCAAATATCCAAAATTTCAAAATGGTTTTAAAGTTCATCAAATTTTAATATTTTGTTTAAAAAATCCATATCTCTAAAATTTCAAAATGGTTTTTTTTTTTTTTTTAAGTTTTTTATTTTGATATTTTTTGAAAACCCTCTTGGCCACACCGTTTCTGATTTCAGAAAGTGAACACCTGTTAAAACTTAAATTTTAATACATGCAATCAACGATTCAAATCTAAATCCGTTTTAAGATCAAATTAGATTCTGAGTTCAAAGTCCAATTCAAATTTAAAAGTTACAGTTCTTGTTAAAGTTTTCATTTTAACTGCTTACATTTTCTCTCTATTTTCTATAATTTTTTGCCCAAAATGAAAAAAAGATGGCAAAAATCATCATTAACATGATTAAAGGGCAAAAACTCCTAAAATTAGTTTACTAACAATTTCAGCAATGTTGACGTATTTATATTTCTAGTCCTGCTAATCATTTTTGTTTTTTATAGTTTTCTATCTATTATAGTCTTCTAGGTAATAGGCGAAAACATGGTAAAAATCATCATTTAAGGGCAAGAACTCCTAAAAGGAGTTGACTGATGATTTGGGTGACGTTTGTGTTTTTTGTAGATATTGTCTTAATGCAATCATAAATTTCTGTAATTTAAAAATATATAAAACTGTGGAAAATCTATGCTTCTGTATGATGTTTCAAGAAAAATCCAGGGAAAAAAAGAGCCAGAAAGGATTACTTAACATATGCTGAAGACAGAAAACTGAAAATTACTGACCTTCAGTAAGAAATTATGAATAAAAAGTAGATCTGTTATATTTTAATTTCACAACTGTTTTACTGACAATCTTTGGTCAGTTTACCCTTACAATTTATTTTCTGCATTTAAATGGTAGGTTATCTCTTTTACAGTAGAAAAATATGGTTCAGGGTTACATATATGGATACAGGGGACCAATAGTATCAGTGGAAACCTGGCTTGGACGTTTGATGATGGATCCCATATGACCTACTTTAATTGGGATAAAACTCAACCACAACCTGAGAACATAGCATCAGAGAGTATGACTAGAAGACCTGGACTTCCATTCATATGAAGACTATTGATGATTTGATGTGTGTGAAAAAAAAGTCATACCAATCCTATAATCAGGTGCAAATTTGGAAGGATTACTCATCTTCAACATTATACTTACATCATTGAAAATATTCTTCACAATGCAGAACAGTTTTTGCTGTAATATTTCATCATAACAGCTACTGATGTCTGTTTTCACAAAGTATAGTGGAAGACTAGAAAATAACAACTAATAATAGCCAATGAAAATAAATATGTATTTGTTTAAAGTTTGAAAATTGCACTCAACCATTAGACAGTACTGTCATTGTGAATGTTCATCACTTAGGTTTTCTTTTCTGTTCATACTCAATTGAAAGCTATAAGTTGAAAATGTTTCTGTTATTTGAAGAAAGGTCAATTAAAACTTCTCTATGATTATTCTTCCTGTTTTACATTCTTTTTCAAAGCATTTAAAAGGACAGATAAATAGTTGTCTATAGTTAATTTTTGAACTACAGGCTGCCAGAATCCTGTATGGCTCACCTGGAATTTTTGCATTAAACTGATAAATTGCAATGAGAATATTTCTGATAGTTTCCAGCA